ACAAACTGTGCAGAAAGTTTTAGCCAGATGGTCAAAACCAAAAGTGAAACAGTATTCTTCACAAACTAACACGTACACGTGTGTACATCTGCGGGCGTGCATGGTTAAGCAGTATACGAGTGCTGGATCTCCTAGCAGTGTCACTTTGCAAAAAAGCTCATGTTATTTACTTAGTTGTAAATCTTTGCTGTAGGAAAATGAATCAGGTTTGCATGGCAAGGTTTTGGTAGCAGGGGGGCTGCAGGGGTGGCTTCTGTGAGAAGCTGCCAGAAGCTTCTCCCATGTCCAATGGAGCCAATGCCAGCCAGTGCCAAGATGGACCCACTGCTGGCCAAGACCAATCCCATCAGCAGCAGTGGTAGCACCTCTGGAATAATGTATTTAGGAAGAGGAAAAAAACCTGTGCAACACCAGTAGCAGCCAAGAAAGAAGAGAATATGTGAAAGGAACAGTTCTGCAGACACCCAGGTCAGTGAGGAAGGAGGGGGAGGAGCAGAGGAATCTCTGCTGCAGGTGTGAGAGCAGAGAGCCCCTGGTGAAGCCTTGGTGAGGCAGACTGTCTCCCTGCAGCCCATGCAGAGCCCCACTCTGGAGTAAGTGGAAGCCCAAAGGAGACTGTGACCCCATCGGAAGCCCACACTGGAACAGTTCATAAAGAACTGCAGCCTATGGGAAGGAATCAATTTGGAGAAGTTCATGGAGAACTCTCTCCTGTGAGAAGGACCTCACACTGGAGCAGGGGAGGAGTGTGAGGAGGAAGGAGTGGCAGAGACAATGTCTGATGAAGTGGCTACAATCCCCATGCCCTATCCCACTGTGCTGCTGGGAGGAAGGAGTTAGAGAAAGTGGGAGTGAAGTTGAGCATGGGAAGGTGTTTTAATTTAGTTTTTATTTCTCGTTATGCCTCTTTGATTTGATTTGTAATAATTTTCCCAAAGTCGAGTATGTTTTGCCCATGATAGTAATTGCTGAGTGGTCTCTCCTTGTCCCTGTCTTGACCCACCACCTTTTCATTGTATTTTCTCCCCCCTGTCCAGTTGAGGAGAGCAATGATAGAGCAGCTTTGGTGGGCACCTGCACAACCCACCACGGAAAAATATTTAAATATTTCAGAACCAGGTAGGTAGGTGTATAGTTACACAAGCACATGTATACTTTGGAAAAAAATAAAATTACAAATAAAAAAATAAAAGTGATTCAGGTCTGACAGCTACTTAGCTGCCTAAATGTAAATCTCCCTGTGAAAATTCATTTAAACTGAAGCCACCTTAGTGCACTTTGTGTTTTCCAGAACACTTGACATGAAAAAAAATATATTAGAAAGCCAGACCAATAGGTGTTAATTTTGCAATTCTCAAACCAGAGATGCATTATTGGATATAGCTGGAGCCTTTATGTTGACAGTTAAATGCTGAATTCCCAGAAAAGTTGACATGTTAATACTTACATGCAAAAGGTCTCATTGCTCAAGTGTTCACTTGTTTCGTCATTGATTTCCATTGCATATACTCAGTCTCCCATGAACCAAATCAGAACTGTCACCTGAAAATTTCAGTCTGTGAAGTGAGGTACTGACTGCTACTGAACACACTTTGACTGGTTGTTTATAATGGGATAATCAGCAATGTCATTCCTGGTCACTGCTCAGAAAAAAAACACGTTAAGTATAAGAAAAAATGCTTGGAATTGGCCCAATTTGGAGTTACAAAAAGCATATACATATATAGGAATTTTTGTAGGAGCTTGTGATGAACTGCTTCAAATTACAAGGTATATTAACTGATTTAATATTCTAATCCTAGCTGAGGTTTTGTCTGGAAAAGCTTTGTAATAGGCACAGTTGTATCAGATGAGAATTGAAGTACTTCTCTGTAATATGTTTATTGGCTTTGAATGAAGCACAACTGATGGTTTGGTCACAGAAGCCTGCTGGAGGGCAGCTTGCTTTAACAGAAAGTAAACAACCAGTGACTTTTCAAGGTAACAGTGAACCTGAGGGTGCAGTTACACTTCAGCTTAAGCTGATTTAGGTGATTAGTTTTTAGCCAGCAAACTGTCCTGAGCCTGCTCTCTGTAGGAACACATAAACTGACCTTGTTGCTGGGGGCTGCACTGGGAGAAGGGATGGAGTGGGACAGCAGCAGCCCCATCTTACACCCATTTAAGATGTTGGGAAGCCTCATCCTGACAAGAACAGTGCAGATTTTTTCTAAATCTGTGATATTCTGTTAGGAATGCACAGTGGTTTGTGTGAGTGTATGTGTTTGATTTTAATTGACCTATTTCACCCTTTTTCCCCCTCCAATTGCACTAGCGTAAGCTAGCAGTGAGCAGTAGCTGGTTTTTATGTTGCAATCTTCAGACAGGTGTATGCTACCCTTAATATTTCAGCTAGGATTAAACCACTGATACATCCATGACCACTTTAAGCCCAAGAGGGAGAAACTGTAGACATATCTTTGATTAGCTTTGCAGAGCAGAGAGTTAGGCAAGAGTTGTGGTGTACTAATCAAAATTTTTTAGATGTTTCCAACTAGAATTTTGTTTATTTTTTCCATAATGCAGCTAGATTTACAGATGTTACCAGTGCAAAAGCAAATATGCTTGCACTTAACAGCTGTTAAGACCAAGCTTTAGGCACGTTGCTGCAAGTGAAATGGGCAGCTGCATAAGAGTTTGTTCTATCTCAATAAACCAAATTAGCCTCAAATCAACAAGAGAAAAAGTTGTTTAGGTCCAAAGCAGTCCTCGTTTATCTGTAGAACACCAGACATACCTTCACAGTGGGAGGAATTCAATTATTTGCTGGGAAAAGGCAGTGTGGCTGGTCCACGGAGAAAGACCAGCTATCGAGACATGGCAGGTGCTAGGCAAGGTCATTATGGCAAAAAGAGATAGTTTCATCCCAAATATTTTATTGCGCATAATCAAATTACGGTTAATCAAAGATTATTTTTATAGCATCATGATCTGTGGAAACCCTTAAAGTTGAAAGTGTCTGTTTGCCATTAAAAATATCCCATCTATTTTGATAGAAGAATCAAATGTTCTGCATTAAAGGTGCATTGCAAACATGATTTTTTCCAAGTCTCCTGAAGATAGCATTGATTTTTATGCTAACTGAAGAGTTTTATTTGGTGTCCCAGTGAGCTCTCAGCTGAAGCATGAGCTCACCGCAGTGTGTAAGCCAGCCTCAGTGCAGCCAGTGGAATCCAGGCAGTCACACATGCACAGAAATCAGCACCATTATGGGAGGAATCTGTTTCCAACAGTTTCACCTCATTTATCATCATTTGGAAGGACTCGACCACCTGGTTCAGAAGAAATCTTGAACCCAACAGCATTAGTCTTAATGCCAGTTTATGATGCTGTCTGGTAAAATGGACTGGGCACGAGGAGGAATTGGATTGCCCTGTGAGCCTTCATAATTATGTGGTAACCACGCAGGATGAGACACAGTAGCCACAATGCCCTCACATTATTAAAACATGAGCTATCAAACCTGCAATGTACTTCTGGAAATTAGATTATTCAGGAAATAATGCTGCTTGAGAAAGGGAGAGACTTGGCCTCCAGCCTGGTTCCCAAGCTGACCCCAGGCAAGCAGGTGGCTAGCGATGGCCACACACTCCACCATATGGTATTCCTCAGCGCTGAGCATTGTATTAGCATCAGCAGTCTCTACATTTGTAAATCTTTTAATTAGCACAGTGGAAAAATGAGCAAAATCAGCAGCAAAATCAGTAAGTAAAATAATAAAAGCTTCTGTCACATATAAAGCAGATAAAACTGTTACATATTATTCTCTTATGATGACTGAAATATTTAGACCAGAAAAATTCCACTCAGATAAAAGCAGCCATCTCTTCAGGAAGGATAACAAGTAAACTATCCTGAGACAGACGAAAAAACTCTTTCAGTCTCAGGGACTCAGTTGTTCTCTGACCTTTTCATATACAAGCTGCAGTCCAAATCCTCCACTGGCCATGAGCTGGGGAAAGGGACCAGCCTGCTCTGTTATTGTCTCCCAGTTCAGCAATCCTGCACTGCCTATTGAGTTTTCTCACCAGGAGAAATTTGAAGCTCTGGCCAGTTCATGCTGCAATCAGCAGCCTGATTACTGGTTGTCTTTCAGGTTGATAGGCAGCCCCACCTATAATTTGGAGCACGTTTCATTTCCTCCAGATCCTGATGCAACATGTATCAGATGAGTGAGGTCATTCTTCAACTATTTCCTCCAGCTTGCTTTGGAAACTTTGCTTGGTTTACACTCTCACCTGCATGGGAAAAGGCAAAAAGCTACCCTTAAGTATGAAGAATTTACTTAATTCATGACTGAACCATTAAATTTACAAAGCAAAACCATTATAAATAATTGAGACTTGGCTACTGTGTCATGCAAAGAGTAATATATTGGTGTAGTATTTTGTTACAAAGAATTAACAAGCTTATATTTCTTGTGGTATATAAGTCTTCTTAACATTTCTCACTTAGTAAATAAATAGTGGAAATATGTCCTACTCGTCTAGTATGTCATTTTCCTCTTGTGCTAACAGTCAATTAAAGTGTTAGGGCATTGACAACCTCTCACTGTTTTCCATTCTGCCAGTGTTGACTGCAACCTTGAAACAATAACATTCAGACCTGGGAAATTTTCTGGCTGATGTTGCATGACACGAAGTGTGCGGTTTTATTTGCATGACTGCATAGGTATAATAAAGCTCCCACCTTAATGGACTTGTGCAAATACCTCTCAGAGGATGCTAAATTACTTCTCACATCAAATTTTGTTCCACACTGGAGTGAGACCTCAGAAAAGAGTATACTTGTGGAAATTTCTTCCAAACGTAATTAAAGGTACTAGAGAAGCAGTGCTGTGAGAATCTGCCAAGTGCCTTGATGATAGGTTGTGATCAGAGATGGTTGAATAAAACAGCCTTACTGTCTTAATTATTCTTTTCCCTTTTTTAACCTTCATTCCCCTTAATGTTTTTTTCTAGGTGCGGTTAGAGTGGCCAACAGACCTCACAGTGAACCCTCTAGACAATTCACTGTATGTTCTGGACAACAACATTGTCCTGCAGATCTCCGAGAACAGGCGTGTGCGGATTATTGCTGGGCGCCCCATTCACTGCCAGGTGCCAGGTATTGACCACTTCATTGTCAGCAAGGTGGCCATCCATTCCACCCTGGAGTCAGCCAGGGCCATCGCCGTGTCCCACAGTGGCATTCTTTACATCGCAGAGACGGATGAAAGGAAGATCAACCGTATCCAACAGGTCACAACCAATGGCGAAATCTCTATAATTGCTGGAGCCCCATCAGATTGTGACTGCAAGATTGATCCTAATTGTGATTGTTTTTCAGGTAAGGAGGTGCAGGTTATTTCCTGTCTGTTATCTGTTGAAATCCTCTGACAGCTGCAGATTAGCAAAGTGGCAAGGATAGACAAGCAATGATTAAGTTTCCTTGGAAAGGCCAAAACCTTAGCAGATATTTGTGGATTTAATCCATTGGCTTCAGAGATGTGAGTCTTCCAGTTGCCACTTGAGGAACTTCAGGGTAGGCCTAGCTCCTCCTCTTTTGATACAGAGGTTACACACTGTTCAGAATTATTTCCGAGGCTGCCTTGCTGTGTCAGCTGTCAACAGCCCGTGTTGATTATGGTACCAGCTCCAGTGCAAATTGTACCTAAATGCTACTGGATCAAGCAGCCCTTCTCACCAAGAATACCAAGGTGTTTCACATCAGCTGCAAAACACTAGCTTATGCATCTCATCACTTGTGTCATGCTGCACCACCAGCAAAATGGTGCAAACACATAATGTGCAGAATTTCTTCTTTGTGTGTTTGAAGCTGGAACAGGCAGTGCCAGGCCTGCAGTGCACTGCTGGGCATTCTCAGCATCACAGCTGCTCTTCTCTGCATGCACCAAAACAAAACATGGCTTTTTTTGTTTCATAAAAACATTTTTCAGAATGAGACAAAGGATAGCATTCCCATACAGAGGTGTGCAGTATGTTGCCATCTTGTCATCTGTATAAACCACCATGTTCAGCTCCGTAATAATGTCATCATAATTCTTAAGCCTCTCACTTCAAGTAAAAGGTTAATTACTGACAAGAAAACATTAAGTATGTCAAGAAGAAAGAAAACAATGCAAATGGTCTTCCAGAGAGGGTGGGTTGCTGACCCAGCCTTGTAATGATAATCAAAGCCTCCTGTGCATTGCCAAGTGATGCCAGCTTCAGTGGCAGCTATGGTAGATCACTGCTGAAAGGAATCCTCCTCAGGGTTCCTATTGAGGGAAACTACCTTCAGTGCTGAAAACTAAAAAGCTGTGGCAAATCAATGATTGTGCTACGGCTAGGCTGGTGAAAGGAAGGGTCAGCTTGGCAGAAAGATCCACTAATTTGTCCATCTCCAAGGAAGCATAGGGTATGCTCAAATGCTCCAGCAAATTTCATGGTTCAGTCAGGAGAAGGAGAGCAATACACACAGTAATGTGTTTTTCTCTAAGAATGAGATTTAATATGGTTTTTTGCTAGTTACAGGAAATCCTGCTCATGTAAACTCATTTTGGTAGGCACATACAGCCCATGATAATGCAAATATCCTCCTCAAACCTTAAATTACACAAACCAAGTAAATTGTCCAGAAATATGGAAAGGGATTGTTTCTCAAGGCACTTTCTGGCTACTGTTCTTCTTTTCTTTTCCTGTAGTGTTGAGTTTTTAATAAGTATAAACTAACCTTTCCTTCAGTGTCTTTTTAGCTGAATTACTAGGTTTTATTTTCTTTTTGTTTTATTTATAATGCAATCCTACTTTAACTACATGCCAGTAGACAATAAGGAGGGAATGAAACTTCAGGTGTCATGGTTTTTTCTTTCACAGTTTTGCATTAAAGCTTTCCTGAACCACAGAGTTTGGGGGCTTAGCAAAAATGCTGCAAATTAGATAATTTATATTCCTGTTTCTCTTCATTGAGACTAATTTAGAATTGCACCAACCTTGGATAATAGGAATTTAATTAGTTGGATATTGTTTTATTGACCTGTAAATGATACTGAGGAGAGCAGTGTGAGGCTTAGGGGATCAGCTTAAATAAGGACATTAGAGATTACTAAAATTACCATTTCTCCTCCAGGTGATGGTGGATATGCCAAAGATGCAAAGCTGAAAGCACCTTCTTCTCTAGCAGTGTCTCCTGATGACACACTGTATGTAGCAGACCTGGGCAATGTTCGAATCCGCGCAGTCAGCCGAAACAAGGCACACCTCAGTGACACCAATATGTACGAGATTGCGTCGCCAGCAGACCAGGAACTGTATCAGTTCACCATCAATGGCACCCACCTGCACACGCTGAACCTCATCACCAGGGACTACATTTACAATTTCACCTACAGTGCAGAAGGGGATGTTGGCACCATCACCAGCAGCAGTGGGAATTCCGTTCACATCCGCAGAGACACGAGTGGGCTGCCCCTGTGGGTCGTGGTGCCAGGGGGCCAGGTGTACTGGCTGACAATAAGCAGCAATGGGGTTCTGAAAAGAGTTTATGCCCAAGGCTACAACCTGGCTCTGATGACATATCCTGGAAACACAGGACTTTTAGCAACCAAAAGCGATGAAAATGGATGGACAACTGTGTATGAGTAAGTCCATGACACTAAATGCCTGATGCAAAGAACTCTACTTTAAATGAATACTGAAGCTTTTTTAGACAGTTCTAGTAATTTAAAAAGACACCCTGCTACTACCACTGTGTGAGAAAGGACAAGTAGTGCCATTGCACAAGCTTTTCAAATTAAACACTACCATTTCTTAGGTGCCAAAGCCTGTCATATGTAAAAGCTCTGTGCACAGTGCCCATTTAGTAGAGCAGAAACTGCCTGAAATTATACTTCATTTTCACTTTCTTATTGTGAATCTCTTTCTCTAAATGAAAATATGATAGTGGAATATTTTTTTTGTAATTAAAGAAGTAGAGGCAAGTTGTGATATGAATCAGGAACTTGAAAAATTCGTGAGGAAGGCAAAAAGGGGAAATTAGCATACTCATCAGAGAGGGGAGTGTTGCGAAGGAAATTGAGAATCTCAGTGGAAGGAATATTCAAAGACAAGTGAGCTTGTCTCTGTCAGCAGGGGAAGAGGATATATAAGAGCAAAAGGATATGTAATAGCAAAAGGCTGTATTTAAGGAGGGTAGGAAAGGCTTCGTAAGCAAGACCATTGATAGGACGTCTAGAAAGCCAAGACAGTTAAAGATGCAGTCAGAACATACCAGTCTGGTCCCAGACAGAGAACAATCCAAGGGAAAGTTTGGTTTTGATTTATTAAGGCATGTGATGTATCAGGATTTCTCATTATTTATAATTAATTGTCATAATCCCTGTTTGAGGATGCAACAAGTGTCAGATGAAGATCGTATATTAACATTGCAGTCCTAGTCCAGAGTCTTTAAGGAGGATAATAGTGCCTGTTTTCTGTAAAGCATAGGTGGTCACGGTCAAAAACTGAAATGAAACGCCATCTAGGTGAGGTAGTAACAGAAAACACATTGAAGAGAATTAAGTTACTGCCTAAGTCACCTGGAAAAGTAGTTCAGTCACTGTCATTACAGGGTTTTAGAATTATATTTTCTTTAAATAAAAGTAGGATAAAAGCAGAGAAAACTGGTGCCTAGTATATGGGAATGTTTTTTATCCTGTCCTCTGTTACTCTGCCAAAGACTAAATTGATAGGGTGGGCATAAGTATAAGCCATTAGAAAGGGATGTTTTTTCAATGTATGAGAAAACGAAAGCATACAGGGCCTTCCTGGTTCAGTTCTCATTATCAGGCATCTATTGATAGAAATTTAAACTATCTTGCTACAGGCAAAGCTTGTCCTGGTGCTGTTCAAACACTGATCAGTGTTACCTTTTATAAGCAGAATTGACTTAAAATATATGTATGCTTCTTTGTAATATTTTCAGCACTGAGAGTGACCCATTTAAATCCCCACTTGAGGATGGTGTCAATCTAGACCATGGACCAATGACACTTTCAAAAAAGTTTTGCAGTAGCTCCAAGTCATGTCTATTACTTCTTAAAATGCCAAACACCACACATTGTTGCAGGACCTTGATTGTTAGGGCATGTGAAAAAGATTATTTTTAGCCATGTGTCTTTCAGTCTTGGTACTCTCTCCCACTGATACTGAGCATAAACCATTTAACAGAATTATTGTTTGTTCCTCTTGTGAAAATATGACTCAAGTGTAGTAAGATCTTTTAAAAGACTTTACCTGTTTGCAAGCACTTCCCATTGTACATAATATAGATTTCTTCCTGAAGAAATCCCTGTGCCTTGAAAGGATTGATATGACGTATCTGATTAAGACAAAGAAATTTTGCTAAATGAAACAGTTTCACATGATTTCACAGCTTTCACTGCAACCTGGGTAACACTGTCCTCACTGATGCTTTGCATGACCAGGCTTTGCATGACCAGGCACTTCTGCCAGCCTAGGTCAGTCAGCAAAAATGAACAGAATTACAACTGTTAGTCTTACAAAAACAACAACAAAATTAAATAGTAAAGTCATGTCATTAACGTTTATGTTCAGTCTGGTATTTTAAGTCGTCTTCATAATATATCACAAATTCCTGAATGCAATCAGCACTGTGCTGAGTAGGTGAGCATTTAGGAGATGCTGCTCACCTGCTGCCATGAGTAGGTCATGGGCTGTGATGGTCCTTAGTTATCTTTTAACCAGATACTATTTTTCAGACAGGTCACAGTCTGAACTGACACTCAATTTCAGTTTGAAAATGAGATTTTTTTGAAGGGTTTACTTCTATGTGAATTGCTTGCTAGCCCTAAATGCATAGAGCATTGGAACTAAGAGAATTATCATATCAGCAACTTTAAAATTGCTTGGAATCATCTTCTCTGCTTCAATTAGATCTGCATTCACATCCAGAAGTTCAACCCGTGACACTGTCAAGCTGAAATAGGAATGAGTTTGTTTAACAACACATATCACACATACTTGGGAATATGAGCAAAGATAATGAACTGTTCAGAACATCTACCTGTATGTCAGATTCACTCACAGAGGGAAATTATTAAGAGGTGGAAAACCACCTACAAAAGTACTTGTCATCCATCTACTCTAATCTGATGGAATGGAAGTACTGGAAGAGCTCTTGCATAAAATTATAGCTAATGTACAATTTTCAGTCATCTAAGAGTTCTCTTAATATAGTATCATTAAAGCTGTAAAAGAGGAGGGGGAACACTGGGCCTCTATTAAATCAAGGACAAGAAAACACCTGCAAGAAACAACTCTCTCTGAAAAAAATTAATTAGATTGCTTTCCCTTTGAAATGATATAACTCTTAACTGTGCTACACATAGAAATGCAAATGGATTGTGAAGCTATATCCCCATGTGTGCATTTCAAATATTGGTGAGCACTTCCTCATGTGAGTACTGAAATCAATGCAATTATTTGCATGATTAAATGGTCACTGACATGATTAACAGTGGCATAACTGAGCCCCAAATTAACATTAAGAAATATGTCATGATTCCACCCCTATTAGTATGGGTAGGACATTGCTCTGCAGAAGCTGAGTCCCAGTGTGCTGCTATTCATCATGTGGAAGGTGACAGAATCTGTCCTCGAAGGGTTGGGTTTCTTGGAGCAGTCTGGAAGGAAAAAAAAGCCCTTTAGATGATCACACTGTGGAATCGATACTGAGACACTAATCTGCATGTCCTCCTTGAAGTCAGTGGGACCATCTACACAAGTAAGAGTCCGTTGGCATGTACTCTGCTCTCATTAGGATTCAGTACTGTATCTGGCCAGCCAGCCAGTAACAGTTTATCCCATTTTCAGCTACACAGGGAGTTTTGTATCTCAGCAGCAGCAAAACTGGATCCTTAGTGAAGATGGATCCCATGTCTGCACAAGTACATTCCAATAAACTGGCTGTATTTGCACCTTACAAATGCATTATTTGAGGATTTTTCTATGGTACAGTAGCAAATCCAAATAACATACCAAGCTGTCATATCTGTTTGATCAAGCATTAAATGAAATATAACTGCCCAATATTCATGGAGCTTTCTAATGATGAAAAGTAGTGATCTGAGTCAATTTTAATCGCTGCCTGTGGCACCCAGTCAACTTGCACAGAATCAGCATAAGGGTAGAATGTAAATAAGTCTCATGATGTATATGAGTGCAGTAAGAAGTGAAAAAGAGAGAGACTATATTGAATTTAATATTTGATCAGTTTATTTGTCCAAAAATCCACAAGATGGTTGCTAGTTCATTCTCCAGTGCTTCATTGGAAAAGAGCAGCTGCTCAATTTTCCTTTTTTTATATATTGGATGGAAAAAAAATCCTGGGGGTTTTTTTCCGCCAATACTTCTTGCAACATGTGGATTTTGTCTGACTAATTAGGGGCAAATAAAGATCCTAAGGAAATCTTAGGATTTTAAAGGTAAGGACGTAGCCATATTAGCTGCTGATGTGAACTGGAAGAGTTCCCTTGGAGGCAATACATCTTTGCTGGCTGATACCATCAGCTGAGGATATATTTTGTCAATGAGAGGAGACAGTTAACAAAACATGAAAACTTAATTATGCTCTCCTACCTACACAAATAAGTTTCTGTTTTATGAACACAGATTTGTTTTGCTCATAGAAATACATCTGCGATATCAGTGAGTTGACTTAGATGAATAAAGACGTGTCAGGATCAATAAGGTTTTTAAGATGTGAGGCATTAATATGAAACAATATCAAGCACCAAGCAATGTTCTGCACTGGTCTCTGTGTGAACCATCAGAAAGAACAAATATATTGGTAGAACTGAAAAGACCTGTCAGAAACCCTGCTCCAGAGCTTTGGAATTAATTACTGACTTTTTGATAATGTGACTGATTCACGTCAAGTACCTTAAACTGCAAGAATTTCTTTAGCACTGATGAAGTTTGGGTGTACTGAAATGTGCTACTCTAGATTCTGGTGCTGATCCTTGTGCTGAGAAGCTGCTTTGAGTAGGCCCCTGGGAAACATAACACAAAAGTAAAACCCATGTAGGCAACTTAATTGCGCCAGATTTCAATCTAATTTTATCACTATTGTTACACTTTAGGTCCCCTTTTTACATTCACCATTCATATTATGTATTGCACACATTGGCGACAAAAGGCACCTTCTAAGTGTTGCAGAATGTGAGAATTGGTTTTATTTAATCTAATGGGTATGAGAATACCTTCTGTGGGATGAGTGCTTTTGGGGATAGAGTGCCTACTTAGCAAGTTGGCTAATGATACAAAACTAGAAGTGACCGATACCTCAGAGTGGCCCTTCAGGGGGACCTCGACAGTTTGGAGAGATGGGTAGAGAAGAACCTTCTGAAATTCAACAAGAGCAAATGCAGGGTCTTGCACCTGGGGAGGAATAACCCCAAGCACCGGTACAGGCTGGGGGCTGACCTGCTGGAAAGTACCTCTTTGGAGAAGGACTTTGGAGTCCTGGTGGACAACAAGCTGCCCATGAGCCAGCAGTGTGCCCTTGTGGCCAAGAAGGCAAATGGAGCCCTGGGGTACGTTAGGAAGAGCATTGCCAACAGGTCGAGAGAGCTGGTCCTGCCCCTCTACTCAGCCCTGGTGAGGCCATATATGGAGCACAGTATCCAGTTCTGGGTTCCCCAGTACAAGAGAGACAGGGGCTCCTGGAGTGGGTCCAGTGGAGAGCAACAAAGATGATCAAGGGACTGGAGCATCTCACAAGGAAAGACTAAGGGAGCTGGGCTTGTACAACCTCTAGAAGAGACAACTGAGAGGGGATGTCATCAATACATATCAGTATCTGAAAGGAGGGTGCCAAGAGGAGGGAGCCAGACTCTTCTCAGTGGTGCCAACTAATAAAACAAGAGGCAGTGGGTGTAAACTGATGCACAGGAAGTTCCACCTGAATATGAGGAAGAACTTCTTTACTGTGCAAGCGACTGCCCAGAGAGGTTGTGGATTCTCCCCTACTGGAGAGGTTGAAGAACTGTCTGGACACAATCCTGTTCCATGTGCTCTCGGATGACCTTGCTTATCAGGGAGGCTAGACCAAATGACCCACTGTGGTCTCTTCCAACCTGACCCATTCTGTGAATCCGTGATTCTAAGTTGGTTGCCTGAACACCGAGTGACCTCCAGTGGCCTCGCTCCTGTATCACAGCCCAGTGGGGGAAACCCCAGCCAGCTATGCCCAGAGCAGAAACCTCTGGCAGAAAGCTGAGTGATGAAGGTAGCATCTCATAGTATTCCCAGTTGGATTTTATCCAGCACCACTGAAAAAGACTCTAAGCAGGAATTCAGAGTAGGGACTGAATGCATTTTAAGTGAATAAATGAACCAATTCTTACCTTTTTACTTGCTGCACAGTGTTGACAATGCTTCTTACATTTTTTTTGCATTTGGTTTTAGGAGTATCTACAAGACAATAGTGATGTATTTTCATGGCTCTTTAACATCATGTCTTGTAGGTATGACTCTGATGGCCATCTGACCAATGCAACCTTCCCAACTGGGGAAGTCAGCAGTTTCCACAGTGATGTTGAAAAACTGACACGGGTGGAACTTGATACTTCAAACAGAGAGAATGTGATCACTGCCACAAACTTCTCAGCTACCTCTACAATATATACTTTAAAACAAGGTATTTAAAGCATTTCTGTTATTTCTTCCCCAATCATTGTATTTCAAACCCTAGATATTATTGCATTCCGAACTCTTTGGCAAAAAAAAAAAAAAAGACATTAGAATTAGTTCATTTGTTTCTTCCTTGCTTCAGTGCAAACAGATAGATGCTACTTACAATTCTCCTGGAGTACCAATTAGAAACAAAGCACAAGTGAATTCTTTTGCTCCTAGAAGAATCCCATGTTGAAATCTCTGATGTCTCCAGGCTTTATGTGCTACTTTCTTCTTCAGTATCAGGAGGACTTGGACTAACCTATACTACATTGAGTATTGTTATTCTCAGAAATATTTCCCAGAAGTATGACAGGTTCCACTGACATTTTAGCCCCAAAATGTCTTGCTTGGCCAATGCTGTGAATTCTTTCTGCTGGTGCTGTGTCCTGGTGACAGCTCTTGTAGGAAGGGGAAAAGCATGACCCACCTCTGCTAGTGATTGCCTTGGAGATGAGATTTTGACTAACCCCTGGCAATATCACAGTATCATGTCTCTTGTAAAAAAATTGTTGTCTCTCGAGTGGAATTGCCCCAGCATCATCCTCTGGATTTTGCAGATTCATCACCAAAGTTCTGGTTTTATACAGTTTAATCGATCTGGGGGGGCTTGTCCTTATTGGGGTTTTTTTGACGTCAGTGAATTGTTCAGGCCTTGAGAGGGCAGGTGCTGGGAAATAGCTCTCTGATTTCCTTCCAGGTATGCTACAGAAAAGCTTTGTAACTGAGTGCATCACAGAACTTTTCTTCCTCTCAACTTTTGATCTATAAGAAAAAAAGAGGGCAAACTCACCTCGCAAGATATCCACTCATTCCTCTTTGCTATTGCATTGCAGAGACAGCACCGTACAAGTGAAAATATTTATATTGTTGTGTCATGTGTTAGGCTTTGTCCAAGTGACTCCATCTTCTCTCAGCATCATCTGCTGACTGCCTGATCACATGTCTGTCCTTAAATCTGTAACTTCTCAAAGTTGATATGTTACCAAAGTGAGTCTCAGGAAAGTGCTTGCACTCTATGGACAATACCAGAAATTAACAGCTCTAGTTATTGTTACACCTACCATATTTATAAATTCATATAATTTGCATATTACCATATCTCTGCAAAACTATCATGAAGCACCTCGTGGACAACCAGTCAGGTGTGATTTCCTTACATCCAGTTATCTTCACTTTCTGACATACCCAACTATTTTTTCTGTATTCACATCTGAAGAGCTAGACCAGTTATTTCTGTGTGGACCAACTTAAAAGACAAAGGATGCTTTGGATAGTCCCTAGCTGAAGATCAGTTTCATTGGAAGGGTGAGGTTTTTAATTTGTCTGTTAGCACTAAACACTCAGGCTCATGATGGAGTTTTCTCTGTCAGCTGAACTGCAGGGACCTCCTGCCTCCATAGCCTCAGCCTGACCAGCTGCCAGACAATGTGGCACAGCTCTGCCTGCAGTGCAGGAATTACAGTGCCCAGGCAAGAGAAAGGAGCCACAGTAGCTGTTGCCTTTGTATCATCTCAGTGGAAACCTACTCTGGACCCTCCACATGCTTCTGGCAGTTTTGATGAGGAGTGGGAGGCTGCGTTAGGTCATCCCAGCTCCCTCAGCAGTCCCCTGTGGCACAGTCCTTGGCCTCTGGAGCCACTTGCTGTGGCACTGCTGCTGACCCATTCATTTTTCTGCCAACAGCCACTTCCCAGTGGGTCTGTTGCACCAGGCTTCAGGCTCATGACTAACCATCACTGTACCTCAACCCCAGGTGCTGCTGCTAATGGGGAGGAGAACGAGGTTTTAGTACAGTGATACAGGGATAAGGTACAGAATGGGAGACTGACTGTCATCCTAGACATTTGGAAAACAGCTTTCATGCTTCACCTCAGATACTCTTACAGTTGTTCAAGCAGTACATTGTCCTGTTGACAGATCCTAACGTGCTGAAATCGTCACAATATCAGTGGTCAATACTCAGCCTATAGGTTCACATACTTTTAAGCTGAAAGCAAAAATGTTTTATTCCTACTGCAGAAAACTTTCACAATGAAAATCATCAGGCTAAATGTAATAAAAAGCCCTTCAGACATGGGAATGTCTAAAGGTTACAGGTTGCAAAACTCACACTGCAGTTGTATGTTCAGCTGTCTGTAACCTCCCTGGGTTACAAACAAAGCCCTGTTGCACCTAACATTTGGTTTATAATTCTGGAGATCTGAACTTCTCTCTGTTACGTGTTTTTGATTGTTTTTTGACAGATAACACACAGAACATCTACCGGGTCAGCCCAGATGGGTCTCTGAGAGTCACCTTTGCCAGTGGAATGGAAATCACGCTTAACACGGAGCCTCACATTCTGGCAGGCGTTGTCAGCCCCACGTTAGGGAAGTGCAATATCTCCCTTCCTGGAGAGCATAACTCAAATCTCATTGAATGGAGGCAAAGGAGGGAGCAGACCAAAGGCAATATCTCTACATTTGAGAGAAGGCTAAGGGTAAGGCTTCCTCTTGTGTAAAGCGCTGTGTTCCCTTTGAAAGTCATTGAACTAAAATCATGTTGAAATACTCTACTTTGTAAGAAGAGCAGTGAAAATTTTTTGTTAATGGTGGGCCCCAGCCATGAATTTCAAAACCAAACTCCTCCAGCAGTCTCAGGGATGTTTGATCTCTGTTTCATTTGGTTGTAAGACTCGACCTCAAGACATAATTACTTTTTTTCTTCCTCTTCTTTTTCAACTAAGAACTAAATTATGGCTTTGGAAGAAGCTGTGAGCAAAGGATAATGTGTAGTTACTCTGGCAGAGCAGAGCTGGAGCCACATTCTGCCTCTCAGATCTCTCAACCAACCCTCTTTCCTCCAGGGAAGCTAACAGGTGCCAGCCACTGCCCAGGGCAGAGAGTCTCACAGGGCACACCTTGGGTGTCCTGGCCAGTGCCTTTCCTGCAAGTCAGAGTGATGTAGAGCCTCCCCATGTATCCAGACAGTCTGTGTATTAATTCTGCCCTCTGCCACATGCTCTCAATCCCCCTCACTCCCTCTGGCTGGGTTTCACCATGGCTCTAAGAAAGACTTGCTTTAGCATTGCTTATTTTTACCTGTGAGGAGAACTCACAGATTACAATGACAGATGGTCAACATTCAGCATGTAATTAGGTAACATTACAGCTCAAAGACATTGTTACTTTGTTGAACAGGTTTTGTACAAAATCAGTCCTGATTTTCACATGAATACCTCTTAAAATGCCTGTACTAGTAGTACAACTGGACATTTTGGCCTTAAAAATACTGTGTGATTGACTCCAACCTTTCTGGGCAGTAATTACCTCTGAAGGTACACCTGTTAGCTGTGAAAATACAGGGATGGCTATTAAAATCTCTGGATTGTCAAAACCATCAAAATCAAAAACCAAAATCAAAACCATCTCATTTTGATTATGAGAAGCTATAGATTTAAATTTTTTTAAGTGTATCATGTTTGCTTTTCAGCTGCTCAATCTAAAATACAAGACTTGGATGATATGGCCAGACTGGGCACTGCATGTGAATCACCTGTTTGAAAGGGCATCATTAAGATTTGACAGTCACAATTACTTTTTAGTATCTTGCAAGTGAAGAAAATCTTCATTTAGTTTTTCTTGCCTACCTTTTGCCTGTTTCATCTCTGCCTTAGTGTGATACCTCATAGCCCTGTTGTAGGGAGACAACTGAACTTATCATAGTGACAAATGCATTAAGATGGCAGGATCTAAACTACTTCATCCTGCCCAGTTTTCCTGATATGCAGTTTGTATTTTCTATTTTTGAAATTGATTGCAGGTTCTTTTAACTCATTTTCACTTGTTTCTGTGTGATCCTTAATATTGCCTGGCAAAATAAAATAAATAAAAAAAGGAGAAAATTCACAAATTGGTCAGGATTAAATGGATTCTGGCTGGAGGCATAAAATTTTCATTGCAATATTGCAATACTGAAGGTATCCAGAGCTCAACTGATCGGTCTACCTCTGGATCAGCTGTTGGTGTGTAGAGCCAATCATGTGCTCCTTCTTCTCCCCCTCCACCTTCATCCAGTGAGAGGATGGAAGGTGAAGGGGAAGTGTAAGTATAATTTTGATGTCTTTTATTCTCTGTCCTTCCAAAAGTATTCTTGAACATTGCATTGTTATTTCTGTAAATTGTGTCTTTTTATACCTAACCAAGATCAAGAGGACTTTTAGATTGTCCCTGCCTGCTCAGCAGGACCAGCCTATATTGCAATCTTTTCCCCTCCCTTGACTGTACTATGCTCTAGGACTCCCAGTCTGAGGGCTGTCAGGGCAAGCTTAGAGAGAACCTAGTGGGATAGCACATTAAATGAGTATTTGCTAGTAGAGAGGAGAAATATTAGAATCATAGAATAATTTATGTTGGCAAAGACCTCTAAGATCATCGAGTCCAATTGTATTCTGCGCACAGGATATGACATATAACTAGGCAGAAGAGAAAGGGACTAATGGACTACTGAGGCTGTTATACCATGAAGAAGGACTTTGGAGAACAGCAAAAATATGTGGGTCCTGGAGTTCAGCTTTTAGCCATGAGGTGGTTGCGTGGGATGCTGATGGAGTGTGGAGTCAGTGGAGATGGAAGGAGCTGGAACAGAGCAGCTGGTGAGAAAGGCAAAGGATCTACACAGAGACAGCTATCTTTCCTTGGTGATTAAAGGAAATATGCAGCACAGCAAGAGCAAAAGTACCATCCTACAGTGTGTTTGAAACTACTCCAAATAATGAAATAGATTTAGGGCTTACTGTTGACAGATCCTTGAGTACTGCTGGGGAAAAAAAAAAAGTAGCATCATTAGAAGCCCATATGCTGGATGAAGTTCTGGTGAGACCTTCTGAAAACTTCTAGTGAGTTATATTTTAAAAAGAAAGTTTTTAAACACTTAATATGCCATGCCTGGCACAATAGGAAGTGTGTTAGAAAGCTTGCAATGTAGGGCAGAAAGAACTATGCTGAACTTTGAAAATATATGTAAAGAAAAGCTCTGGGGATTGGAGCAGTTCTCAATGGAAATGAACAGACTTGCAGGAGCCCTCAGTTAAAGAAAGAAAAACCAGCACAATGGAAGAGTTTTCTGAGAAAGAAAAAAAAAAAAAGCATAGAAATGAGGTTTAAAGATGTTATCAGCCCTGATACAGTCAGTGAAACAAACGGCTTTGAGTGCTAAGAGGTATAAATTAGAAGGCAGGTAGCTGGGGATGAGATAAAGGATGACCTATTTGAAGAGAAGAAAGAGAATAAAGCTTTTTCTTCTCTGCTGGTCCTAACTTTTTTAATTTTAATTGCAATTAGCAGCCATCTTGAAAGGATGTCACTCTATTAGTGCTATTTCCAGCTTTGGAAAGAAGCCACTGTTAGCATGTTCTGTATAACACTGGAAACATTGTGTTTTATAAAGTTGGATTTTTGTATGGTGTTAATTCTCTGCTTTGCAAATAGAGCAGGAGTAAGTGACCTGAAATACTAGAACAGACATCTAACTTTATCTCAGGATATAAATCCATGTGGGAAACAGGAATTAACCACAGATTTCCTTCAAGTGCCTAACTGCCTGCCCCGGTGCTTCCTGAGCATATATAAAACATTCTGTGGGCATGTATGCATTTTATATTAATAATAAATCTATGTACAACCAGGCATTTTCACATCAATCTTAATCTAGCAAGATTTATTTTTTAGCAATTGAACTGCTATTTTAATTGACTTCTAAAAATGAAGCAAAGATTGCTGTTAAAATCGATGAGCATGATGCATAATAATACACTGATTAGAATGCAACCCCGTTCCCTCCTGACTTTTGCATAACTTGAGGATCTTGGCATTGGGTACAGTCCAGGTTTTATAACTGAATATCTACAAAATTGAAAATTGAATGCTTGGCCAGTCTTACTGATTTTTGCCTTTTTTTTAATAACAAAGAAGGAAGTAACTCACTGGCCTCAGTTCAAAAGTCCTACAGACCCAGGCTTTAACAGCCATGTTCATTGTTGCATTTAGCAAATTATCTCCCTTTATTTACCAGTCTTATGGCAAATTCTAATGAGGGGACTAAATCCTCTGCCAGGGCCTGTCCGTTTACGTTGGCTTAAATCAAAACACAGGCAAGGAAATAATGCCATCATCTCCTCTGACTTACACATTGTAGACAGGACACCCTTGGAAATGAAAGTCAAAAGAAGTGAACCTTAATGTGATACTTACACTTCAAAATGTCTAGCTATAAAACTAATGGAAGTAGAGACAACAAATGTTTAAAAACATATAATTAATATATATGTTTTAATGCACTTCTGACATTACTGAAGTCAGCTGAATTTTCTCCCTATTTTCATCAGCTGACATTCCAACCTGACGTTGATTTCAGAAACCAGTTTTCCCTGGCTCATAGCAAAACACATAAGCTCCACCCACCCTTGGGGCTTCTTACTATGTTATATGTATGTTGGAGAAGTCATCTTTATGTAGCCACTGGGATTTGAAATCACCTTGTCAATACCAACACTGAGATGAGTCTTGCTACCCATGTGCCATCTTGTCTTGCCTTGAGAAGGGCGTTAATTTAACTTTAATATAAGAAAGTAAACAAATGAGACATTAAATGTGAAATATAAGGGAAGTATTTTAACCTTATATTAACTCTGTAAGTTTTCAAATAATACTGCATTCCACTTCACTGCTAATTCTGTCTCTGTTTGGTTTTCATTCTTATTTGTTGTGAGGAATTCAGATTGCAAACAATTTGTATTCGAGAGTTTCCTTTCTCCTAACTGCATTCTACAATAATAACAACAGCAATAAGAACATTAAGCATGTACAAAGAACATAAATGAATATGAGATAGGGTATACTCCCTGCTTGCTTTTCAGTTGTTTTGCCACCAAGAGGATTTGTTTTTAGAAATTGCAAGAAGTTCAATAAAAAATATATTATATTAAACTTAATCCATCAGACTGTACACAAGCAAATATACTTGAACTGAACATCACATTTTACTTTGGCTCCTTAACTATCATTAGAACATAAATTGTAATAGTTACAGCAGTCTACAGGGGTATATAGGTATTTTACAGCTATTGTAAATGAACACTATTAAAGTTAGACGTGTGTGTATATAAAACCCCAGAAATGGTAGCTGAAGAAAGCACACCTGCTTCTTCTAGATTTTCAAATTATTTTGTATCTAAAAACAGAAAAGGGAAAGAAAAAAAATGTTCGTTCTAATCACAGGTTGAATTATTAAACAGGTATTCTTAACCATTTCCTCAGTGGCTGTGCTTCCAGGTCTCCGTGAGGAGCAAGCACTGTGCCATGACTGTGCTAACACCTGCACTGGCATCATCTCTGCTGTGAGGAAGTTATTAATTGGAATAGATTAGCACAAGTGATTGGATAAAATGTGGTAGATTAAAACAATGAGCACATTGAGCATTGATCTGAAAAAGACAAATCAGTGAACAATGTTTTATGGTTCCCTAAATTATATCTCTGATTTAAATGGAGTTTAATAGTGATTGCCCAGTGACTGAATGAGTCAGAGGAGGCAGATGATGATAGCACTGGATAAATACATTTTTGTCTTGATGAATCTGGCTCAGCTTTGAATTTCATTTCAAATTGAGTGTTGGGCTGCTGTCTGTCTGTCAGACACAGTGAGTTTAACAAATGCTGCAGGTCCCAGATGTGTTGAGAGAGCTGCAGCAAGGAATGTGGCTGGCACCAGGCACCACTGCTGCTGACTTTCACAGGCTCTGGGAGTGGGGTGGTTTTGTGAAGAAGCATGAGGATGCTGGTGAGCAGGAGCTGCAGCAGCTGACCTGTCAGTGTTAGCAGAGCTCAAGAGAGAGGATGCTAGATAGTACATCTTTCTTAATTTGTGGGCTTAAGTGCATAACTTTGGCTGGAATCAAGAAGTTGGTCCACAGTTGAGAAGAAAGAATTAAAACTTAGGAGAAGGTGAGAGTAGAGATGAGGGTTTAGCACACAAAAGCATCCTGTAATGACAAGTATAATACTGAATACAAGCAGCATTTTCTTTTTTGGTCCTCCTGGTTCTCATCTGAATCCTTTTCTATTTTCTTGTCTTCAATAAAGCCTAAATCAGTGTTAAACCTCTGCTCACTTTGATTAGTGCTGACACAGACATGTCTGTGTTGGCCATACTTAGGATGCATTATTTTCTTACCTTGCTGTGTCTTTTTGTTTAGACCCACAACAGAAACCTGCTCTCCATTGATTTTGATCATGTGACCAGAACAGGAAAGATTTATGATGATCATCGCAAATTCACTCTTCGAATTATGTATGACCAGACAGGACGTCCCATTTTATGGTCACCCATCAGCAAGTACAATGAGGTCAACATCACTTATTCACATTCTGGATTAGTCACCTATATCCAAAGAGGAACCTGGACTGAGAAAATGGAGTATGATCCAAGTGGGAACATCATTTCCAGAACATGGGCAGATGGTAAAATATGGAGTTACACATATCTAGAAAAGGTAAATAATTTTAAAAGTGGATTGTTGTTCCAAGGCAAAAATATTTGTTTTGATATAGATATTATATTGTGAACTATAATACTTCTTGAAGAGTGTTTAAGGCTTTTTAAACAGAAAATACATAGAATTGCATAACTAGACAAAAATGTCTCAGGACATGCTTAGACCTACATGTCAGCTGCTCAAACCTGCCGTAGTTCAGTTCTGAAGAAAGTTGTCAGCACCTCAAGTTTGTTTAATTGGTAGGTAAAAAAGACTTTTTAGTTTCAGTCCAAGTTCAAGTGAACAAAGGGCACTCTCACTGCTGAAAAGCATGTTGCTACTCTGGATAACAGTCAAAAAGATAACGGTCATTGAAAGGGAATTTTTTCTCCCCACAAACACAGTTCTTTTAAGCCAAAATGATGATCCTATGAGTACAAGTTTGCTGCACTGTAAACAAGGGATTGATCCTGTGAGGAGAAAGTCTGCACAGCACTTATGAGAGCCATTTGGGGGGAAGCATTAATACAAAATGAGTTATGGCTCTGCTTTTATAGTGACTTTCATCTAAATTCTCTGAGTATTGTGATTTTCACTTATATCTGTAGGTAATAGTCATGAAATGTGGGGATAAATGTTGTACAGACTAAGGAAGAACATCTCCTGCATCTCTGGAATCATCTCATTTGGCCTTATCTCTCAAAACCAAAAAGCCAATCTGTATTTTTAAAGCTTTCAGATCTTAGTGTGAACTTGTACTCAGACTTTTTAAAATAGCAACATGTTGGACTGTTCCATACACCCTGAGTTTGCAGAACATTTTCTCTGAACCTGTAAAGCACAGGGAAAGGCTGGGGAGTGGGGGAGGCAGGTGAGGTAGCACTGATAGGAGGTATTACACAGAAGAAATCCAGTGACTTTGAAGTTATTTATATATTACAGAGTTCCAAATGTGTACTTTTAAGATAAACTGTGCTGTACTTATTTTGAATGTATTTAAACTTGATCCTCAGAAAACTGAAACCTAACCCAGTGAAAAAAAGAACGATTACTACTGGAGAATGCATAAAAATGTGATTCCCTCCTTGCCTGCATGCAGTATGGCTCTTGCATGTGTTAACAAGATTGGCAAACCCCAGGAGCTTCAGAAGTTTGCTTCAGATAATTTGTCAGGGCTTCTTTTGTCTGTATGCTCTTCTGCAAATTGCAAGTAAACAGGCATTTAGTACAGCTCTCAAATATTTGGGCAATGTGCCTTTTGGAGAAATCCTTTTTTATCTTTGGGCCTAATGGACCATAATTTTGGGAAGATACATACTTCTTATCTTTCCAAACCGCTTTGCCTGTTCTTAGTTTATGATGAGCTTATAAATAAAGTATATAACTAAACAGTGTTATTCTGGAATTCTACACAATGGACAAGTCCTGATTTTGTAGAAGCAAATTGCAAACTCTTACTGGTAGCAGCAGGCTTGGGTTAACTTGTCATTAGAAGTATTGAAAGTCATACACCACATGGACATAATCTCCCAGCTATTTAATGTGCTTTCATGGCTGTTGTTCCTTGTGCCAAAGAAAAATGAATTCACTGTTGAAATTCGACATTGAAATATCACTTTGTGGCTCCATTAAAGTCAATAACTCATTGTGTTAATTACGTAATGATTGCCAAAGGTTGTCTGAAACCTTGTAAGACCCAATGATTCCTTATATGAAAAAATCAATTATATAGTTCACTTCCAATTCATAGTTATTTAATTCTTCATTTTTAGCACTTGATGAGTTAATTGTACATCTTCCAAAATCTCTACCCCTTACAAAATTAGCTCAAATAATTAAGGTTTTATAAAGCACTATAACATTAGCATTGTAAATAATTCTTACTGATGAGATTCAGTTTCTCTTGTTCTGGTCACTTTCCTCAATTAGTTAATGGTGTTATAAAATCTCCTGAATACTCCAAGCTCAATTCCAAAATCCAACGACAAAATAGATGAGCAGCTGTGTGTATATCTTGGACAGAAATGACATCTAGTGGTGATGCTCAGCATTTGTCTATTCCCAGCAGAGCTCCCAGTAATTGCCACTGGCTGTTTGTCTTGATACACCATACGGCATCAATCATTATGTGGTTGACCAGGCTCTGGTTGCTTTAATAAAATGACAGCTTTTTGAATGTTTTATGAGCTACCCTCTGAAATCATTTAAAACAATTAGAACCCAATTTGTGCAGAGTTGAAAAATCTATTGTAATATTATTAGGATGAATTGGGAATTAATTTTTTTTCTTTATGGTATCCTCTAATAGGCTAGAGAGGATACTAAGTCTCCAGTCCTTGTACTGTCTATCTTTTTACTATCCTGGACAAAAGTGGAAAAGCCACAAAGTGCTGTAAAAATGGCACACAGGGGCACTAAAGTTATATTGGGGATGTTTCTGATCTTGTTATTCATACTCTGTCAATGGCAGACAGCTTAAAAACAGGCTCGGGAGCAGTATATAGAGAGAGGCGTCACAGCAGTGCTAGGAGAGAGTTCAGCCAGTGGTTTACTGCAGACTGGAGACTCTTGACTGAAGGTGAAAACAAAATAAACACAGTGCGTGTTGGAAATGCTTGGTGGAGCAGCAATAAAGTGCTCAGAAAAAGCTCAGTGTGAAGGTCTGTCGTCACCAGTTGGCAGAGGGTGACCTGGAGTGGCATATGTTGGTGCTGTCTGGCTGGTGTACAGGTGACAGATGTCTCACCAAGGGCAGGAAGAAACACATCTTGGGCAGGCAGGGGGCTAGGGGTACAGAGAGGATGGCCAAGGCTGAGCCTATCTCTGGCCCTTTGAATGAGCATGCAGTGTATTTATCAGAGCAAAGTGGCTCAGGACCAATGTTACTTAACACATTGCAGGGCTGAGCTTGCGGTGTTTTCTTCCCAGAGAAGATTTTTGAGCTTAGAGGAAAAGAAAACCTACTTTTCTGATCTCTTTCCCCAGTGCTCTATGACAAAGCAGTCACACTGTTCCTCATAAGACTTTGTTTTGTATGATGTCTCAGTCATGCAGAAGTATGACAAATTTGCTTATATGCCTGATAGATCTGGGCTTTGGGCTAAGAGCTGTGTGGTGTTGGCATTCCAGCACAACTCAGACAGTGTAGCAAGGATGTGCAGTGCTCTGGTCCATCCAAGACACTTGCTGGACCTAGGGGAATGCTACAAAGTTCCCCCATACGTCTTCACTCTGTTTTCATTATGCTTGTTTCAGCAGTGGCTTTTCATCAGCAGGCTTGTACTCTGTGACACTGTGACTTTGCGCATGACAGGTGAAAAGGTTTGCAGAATCCAAACTTTAAGTATTGAGAGAAAAAAATATGCCATGCTTGCACATTCATCTGCCAGACAAACAAACTAGATTTCATTGACTAGCCACAATTAACCAATAGGGCAAATATCAAGTGCCTGTGTAGAAATTATATTCTTTGTAAACACTCAAAATCAGCAATAATAGTAGTCACACCAAAGAACCTCCAGATTATTTTCATCCACCTGTAAGCATAGAGGTACTGTGAGCTCTGAGGCAATGTGCATTTAAAAGACATACAGAAAAAGGGGTAGCTCTGTGCTGGAGATATGCAGGGTGCCAGTAAAAGCTAAACACCTTGTACACACAAGGCGTTTCCCCTTTACAACTCCTCTAGACACATCTGCTGGTGCAGATGCTCTGCCTGTGTGTGAGGGAGAGGTTCCCTCTGTTCTTGCTTCCTGAGAGGATGACCTAAATATTTCAAAGCAACATAGCAAGTCAGCATGAGCCTGAAATGCTACTGAGAGCCACATCTGCCTTCCAGTTTGGAGGTCCTTACCTCTACACATTATTATTCTCCTCCTGTTTTCTACCACCTTGTTGGCCAGGCTTCCTGGAGCTGAAAGCTTCACTTGGAATTGTACAGACAGTAAGAGCAAACTGCACGAGCGAATGGTTGTTTCAACATTTCCATAACCTTCACTAGATGAATGATCATGTGCTTTATCAGCCTCTTACCATTGTTGTTTGGTTGCAGTCTGTGATGCTTCTGTTGCACAGTCAGCGTCGCTACATCTTTGAGTACGACCAGTCTGACTACCTGCTGTCGGTCACCATGCCGAGCATGGTGCGCCATGCCCTGCAGACCATGCTCTCCGTCGGCTACTACCGCAACATCTACACCCCTCCGGACAGCGGCGCGGCGTTCATACAGGATGTCACCAGGGACGGACGGCTGCTGCAAACCTTGTACCCTGGGACAGGCCGCAGAGTCCTTTACAAGTACACCAAACAGTCCCGACTTTCTGAGATTCTTTATGACACCACTCAAGTCACGTTCACCTATGAGGAATCTTCTGGGGTTATTAAAACAATACATTTAATGCATGATGGGTTCATCTGTACCATCAGATACAGACAAACAGGTTTGTCTAACTGTGACTACTTTGCTAAAGTTTTTTGCTCTGGTCCTGCACTCACCTTGCATGAAAATCCACTATTTTTATGTCTACAAGTTCTTATATTTTATGCTTCAATAGAAAAATATGTGTGTATATCTCTGTGTCTGTGTCCATAGGTGAATATAGCTGTCCCATTTGAAATACAGTTTTCTTTTTATTGCTTGGTATGGAATAGCTCTTAGAATGTTTGGTTGGTTTTATTCCACTGTGTGGATATTTGCTAAATACTAAATCAAGTTGTTTTATTGTTTGCATTTTCAAGTTTCCCTGTTTGCACCATAATACAACATAAATTCAAAAGGACTGTTTATGTGAGGAAGGAAATCACCACGTAAAATAAATTTCATTAGAATTATCAAGTAAATAGAAATCATAATTACGAATAAAATAGCATTCATTTCGAGAAATGTTAATAAAATATAAATAACTTGTAATGCAAGCACAATAAAGGTTTACGAGAGAATAATCAAGCATATCCTTAGTTAATGATATTGTCCGAGACAGTTCAGCAGTGATAAGGCTAAGGGGTATATCTGATGTCATGGAGAGTCTGTCTAGATCTGTAGAGTAAGTAAACCGTGGCATAATTCATTTAGTTCTTGTTTTTCCTCTGTCCCCTATTTGTTTTGGACAGGTCCTCTTATTGGTCGCCAGATCTTCAGGTTTAGTGAAGAAGGGCTTGTGAATGCCAGATTTGACTACAGCTATAACAACTTCCGTGTCACGAGCATGCAGGCCATGATCAACGAGACCCCTCTTCCCATAGATCTGTATCGTTACGACGACGTTTCTGGCAGGACTGAACAATTTGGAAAATTCAGTGTCATTAATTATGATTTAAACCAAGTTATAACCACCACTGTGATGAAACATACCAAAATCTTCAGTGCCAATGGTCAGGTGATTGAAGTGCAGTATGAAATTCTCAAGTCTATCGCGTACTGGATGACCATCCAGTATGATAATATGGGTCGCATGGTGATCTGTGATATACGTGTAGGTGTAGATGCCAATATAACAAGATATTTTTATGAATATGATGCTGATGGTCAACTCCAGACTGTGTCTGTGAATGATAAAACCCAGTGGCGCTACAGCTATGACCTTAACGGCAACATCAACCTGCTGAGCCATGGAAACAGTGCGCGCCTCACTCCTCTGAGATACGATCTAAGAGATCGCATTACCAGACTTGGAGAAATTCAATACAAGATGGATGAAGATGGTTTTCTCAGGCAAAGAGGCAGTGAGATCTTTGAGTACAACTCTAATGGTTTGCTGAACAAAGCGTACAACAAAGTGTCTGGCTGGACTATGCAATACTGTTATGATGGTCTTGGAAGACGAGTTGCAAGCAAATCAAGCCTAGGACAACACTTACAGTTCTTTTACGCTGATCTCTCCAACCCAATAAGAGTTACTCACTTGTACAATCATACTAGCTCGGAAATAACATCACTATATTATGATCTCCAAGGTCATCTCATTGCAATGGAATTAAGCAGTGGAGAAGAATATTATGTTGCTTGTGATAACACTGGAACACCTCTAGCTGTGTTTAGCAGTCGAGGTCAAGTCATAAAAGAAATTCTGTACACCCCATATGGAGAGATTTATCAGGACACTAATCCAGATTTCGAGGTGATCATTGGTTTTCATGGAGGACTCTATGATTCGCTTACTAAATTAGTTCATCTGGGTCAGCGGGACTATGATGTCATTGCTGGTCGGTGGACGACACCAAATCATCATATATGGAAGCACCTGAATGCTGTCCCACAACCATTTAATCTCTACTCATTTGAAAATAATTACCCAGTTGGGAGAATCCAAGATGTTGCTAAGTATACAACAGGTAAAAGAAATATGTTTGTCATGAAAATAAAATTTTTATCAAATTCCGGTATAGATTCAAGACTCCAGAAATCTTTTTCATGCATCCAAAGTCACTATTTGGCTCTAATCTTACATCTATTCTGTATTAGATTACATTTTACTGAGCTTAATCTGTTTTCTATAGCCTTTATGGTAACTAAGAAAATAATTAATAGTTGCATCTGCTGTTTTTCTCAGTGCTAAAATTAGAGCAAGAATGAAAGCAGTTTAATTTGATTTTTTTCCACTAGAAATAGATAGAAGGAATACTATTGATTTGAGTAGAACTATGCTTTGTAACCAAGTAAAATGTTTGGTCCAATAAATGCTGTAACTAGTACTGGGAACATAAATTGATGTGAAATCGTTATTTCTGCATAGCTGGGATTTCTGCAGACTGCCCTCACTTTTTCTAGGATTTATGTGTCTTTTTGCCAGCATCTTTTTCTTGTTTTGTAGACATTGGAAGTTGGCTAGAGCTGTTTGGTTTCCAGTTGCACAACATGCTGCCTGGATTCCCAAAACGGGAGATAGAAGCTTTGGAGACAACATATGAACTTCTACAGCTTCAAACAAAAACCCAAGAGTGGGATCCTGGAAAGGTTAGCAAAAAAACTCTGTTCAGCTGCTTCTAATATTAAATTAAGGAATTTTATTAGAAAATACTGGAGACCAAGGAAACAATGTGACTGTGTCTTTCAACATAATAGGCAAGGCAAATAGTTTAACAGTGCTAGAAACTTTAATGTTGTCAATTATGTACTGGCATCAGAGTGGAGGAGAGCTTTAAGGAGAAGCTTTTAGCAACACAGTGAATAAGATTTGTAGCTGTTTATAAAGAAAATATCCAAATTTGAAGAGCAGGATAGGCAAAAGGGTACAAGTGTTTGTGTGAAAATGGAGAAAGCACAAAAAATTTGTGGATTAAAAAATTAAAATAGCAGATATTCATCTTTGTTAGCAAAAATGCCACAGGAGCTGCAAAATCACAGAGGGTATAAACAGCTTTACAAGTCAGTACCTCTGCATAATTATTGCAGGAAACAGAAATGATGCTATGGATTTGCAGGGGGTCTGTAGATCTCAGCCTCGCTCCAGGGCTTATTTTCAGTAAAGAGCCAGGCAGCAGCTATCAGGGTTCAGCAATCAGTGTGACTGCAGCAGGACCAACTACTGATATTCTGAGCAGGTGTTCATGTTTTGCATTTGACCATAGCAGCATCTGTTAACAAAGAAATATGATTTTCTAAAGATGCCTTTCCTCCAATGTAGTCAGGAAAGGGAATTACAAAGCATTTCCCATGCACAAACAACTGCACCATGGGCTGAAGGGTCAGAGCTTGTGCCAGATATGGGGCCATGTCCATGGAAAATTGTCACTGAGGTATTAAAGAAGCTTTTACAAGGCACAGAAAAGGTGTGGTGATAGGTATCGTGTTAAAAGACAAAGAGATGGTTGGAGTGAAGTTTCTTTTAACCTTTATGGGGAGCAAGATCTACAGATCTGATGTACTTGCCTGGTTCCTATTTTTCTCGTGTCTCAAGACCTTCACAACCTGTTTCCTTAAAGAATGGGCTATAAAATCTGTTACTGCAATTTTACAGAAGATGTAATTAGGCACACAGAGACTAAGCAGGGAGTCACATTAAAGAGCACAGCTTTGAGTTCAGGTTTCCCTGAACTGCCTAAAGACTGAAAGATCAGCCACTAGAGTAACATTTCAAGGGGGAGGAAGAATAATAAGGAAGAACAAATGCAAAAATAGCATTTGCAATAAACATATTTCCATTTGTTTTCTAGAAATTAAGGAGTCTGAGAGACAGAAAGCACTACCATAGGTGATTAGAAAACCTGTGCACATGCCCAAGGGTCTGTAGGTGTGAACGATATTTTCCAAACAAATTGAAGATCCATTTTAAGCAATTAAGAGATGAGTAGGATTTGTGAGATACTATAATGAACTGCAAGGTGCAAACTTGATTGGTATTTTCTTTTCCAGACTATCCTTGGCATTCAGTGTGAGCTACGAAAGCAACTCCGAAACTTTATATCCTTGGATCAGCTTCCTATGACGCCCAGGTATAGTGATGGCAAATGTTCTGAGGGAGCGAAGCAACTCAGATTTGCAGCTATTCCTTCAGTATTCGGAAAAGGCATCAAATTTGCCATAAAGGATGGTATAGTGACAGCTGACATTATCGGTGTGGCTAACGAGGACAGCCGGCGCATTGCTGCCATCCTCAACAACGCTCATTATCTGGAGAACCTGCATTTCACCATTGAGGGCCGAGACACCCATTACTTTATCAAGCTGGGGTCTTTGGAAGAAGATTTGGCCCTAATCGGTAACACCGGAGGACGCCGCATCTTGGAGAATGGCGTCAATGTCACGGTGTCGCAGATGACTTCTGTGATCAACGGGAGGACTAGACGCTTTGCTGACATCCAGCTCCAGCACGGCGCACTCTGCTTTAACGTGCGGTATGGAACGACGGTGGAAGAGGAAAAGAACCATGTCCTGGAGATAGCCAGGCAGCGAGCCGTGGCTCAGGCCTGGACTAAGGAGCAGAGACGACTGCAGGAGGGGGAAGAAGGAATTAGGGCATGGACAGACGGAGAGAAACAGCAGCTTTTAAGCACTGGGCGGGTCCAAGGCTACGATGGATATTTTGTTTTATCTGTGGAGCAGTATCTTGAACTTTCTGACAGTGCCAATAATATTCACTTCATGAGACAGAGTGAAATAGGCAGAAGGTAACAAAGAAAATCTCTGCCTTTGCGTCACCAAAGACTGCCTGTTTTTAAACGTAAAATGGTTTATTGTATTGGTTTTTCTAGATCAGAACTCTGTATATATAAATATAGAGGAAAAAAACATATCCAACTGCCTTTAAATGTGACAGAAGATGGTATTTTAATATTGTTTGTTTAACTCTTTGAGAGATGACAGTGACAATTTTTAGTTCTTGTGTGGCAGTATTCAAAAATTTCAGAAGCAGAGTCCTGTGAGCCGAGCGGCGCGACCTGCGCGCGAGGTGCCCGGGGTGACACCGCACAGCCCTGCGGGGTAGGGGCGAGCACCACATGCTCTGCCTTCTTCTAAAGAAACACAACTTTTTTGTTGTTGATGATTTAATAATTCACCAGTTATTTCAAAGGTTACAGAGCCTGGTTCTGTAACCCGTATTTACTGGGTGGTCTTTATCTCATTGAGATCTCCCCTAAGTTCAAGGGATTTCATACAGAAACCAGACTGTGTATGGAAACTTTGTAGTTGCTCACCAACCCCGCACATGTCATCCCTCACAGCTAGGAACTAAGGCATTTTCTAACCTGGGAAACACGACTTGTATTGGCTTCAGCATGTACAAGACTGTCCCCTATGGCCTTTGCTCACTCGTGGCCACCCCTCAGCCGCCCCATGTTGAAGAGCATGGGCATCTGTGGCCTCTGTCCCAGAGTTTCCCTCGGCAGTAGGATATACTGGAGTCTGGCAGCACACATAGAGCTGCCAATCTGCCTGGGGAAGGGATGCAGGTGGCACTGTCCTGCCACCTTTCAGCCAGGCAATGGAGTGGCCAAAGTGGGGCTTTGTGGGCTCTGTAGTCTTTGTGAGGCTCTCCACTGGCATCAGTGGGCTCCAAGATGGGCTTTAACCCAGTGGTTTGGGGACAACCCAGCTGAGAGCCCACAAGGAGTGGTAACAACAAGCCATGAAGGATTGGTCCTGTCTGTAGGCACTGGTCCAGGACTCATCTTTGCACAGATGATTTGGAAGTTGCAGTGTTGTTGGGTTTAGGCATCACATTCTTTTCATCTCAAATAATAATCCTATTGTAGTACTCATTTTTTTGACTCTGAAGAAGACTGGTGGGTTGGGAGTTGATGAACCTAAGTGTGGATAGTAAATATGTTGATAAACGTAGAACATTTTGGGGATGACTCTTCACTTTTCAGCTCAATATCTAGAGCACATAGAAAAGCATTATATTGCATGGACAGAAATTTTATTTCCCAAGGTATCATGCGCTGCTGGCACAGTTACTTCATAGCAGAGTAGGTGATCCTTCCTTCAGCTTGTCATTTTTAAAAGACCTGGTTAGCAGGAGGTGGGGTGGGCACACAGGGAGGGGGGGATGGGCAAGCAGTTTTCCTTTACTGACTTTCAGAGGGAGCTAGAAGTCTTGTTATAGAGCCTGTGTATCCGTAACAGTGATGTTATTGCACATTTCTTTCAAAACAGACATACTAAATATATTGAAACAATTTCTGCTCATATTTACTGAAGCCAACAAAGTGCATTCTTTGTCTTTCTTCCTTTCTTTCCAGTTTTCTTTTTCCCCTTGTTTTTGGGCAAGTGGAGCAGACTGTACCCAAGTTAGAGATGAGCCTGAACTGGCACCTGAGACCTGAGCCCCTTCCTGGGGATTGATCTCAGGTCTCAGCCTCACCCCATTACCTTATCTTCCCAGACTCCTGCTCCCCTGGGAGCCAGCGCAGCTTTGGGGGTGCAGGATCAGGCTGAGTGGGAGCCTGGCCCCTGGAACCCCCCTCTATCCCCAGCTAGGGGAAACTGTGGACCAAAGTCTGCACATACACATTATGATCAGGCTCATCATTAACTAGTGTACAGAACAGGGAGCTGACAACATCCAGGTTTGACAGCTCAGATTTCTGTAATTTTCCATACAATCACGGAGAATTTGAATACCTCCACACCAGCCTAAAAATGGACCTTCAGATCCTTGAGCCTCTAATACGCTTTTAATCAACGGAAGAATAATTTATGAATTGTATATAGAGAGTGCATTCATAAATGTGATGATGTATTTTATCACTGATCCAAGATGTCAATATTAGAGTCTATTTTACTTATATTTTAAGCAATTATACTTTTTTGCAATTCACTAATGAGGATCATTTTCAAACTGCTTTAAATATCCATTATAAACAAATATTTGAAGCTATTAGAGTTACCTTGAACTGTGCATTTCTAGTATGTAATACATATTTAGTTAGCTTGTGCCTTTAGTTTCTGAAAGTTATATCTGTATTATATGCAGGAAATGCACTTTGTATTACCTACAGCTGTGGTTTTTAATACTGCCTTGATTACTGTTGTTCTCATGTTATGCCAAAAGGTCAAAGAGTGAAATGTGTTACAAGTTTGTCTCTGAAAGTAGATTTGGCATTTTTCTGTTTCCTGGGTGCAGTCTAAGGTACATTTTGAACAATATTTATTATGATAATATGGATGCATTCACAGACTCTCATGATATTACATGGCCCAGTTACAAAAGCAAAAAAAAAAAAATGCCTTCATCATAACAGCTTTGGAAATTTAAGAAACTGAATCACACTGACAGTGTGAAAGAAATGAGCTATTACTGAAAGAGCACAGGAGACTGAAGCCGTAGCTACACATGGGCCAACCAGCAGTGATTCGAGAGAATTACGTGAACAAATAGCTTTGGACCATCTTGTTCATGAACAACCTCAGATGGAGGCAGGGAATATTTCAGTCTCCGTTTTTTTCCTAGTAGTTAGACCAATTTCTCAGTGTTGAGGGTTTTTTCCCTTCTTCTTTTCTTATTTCATTTTTATTTTGCACTATAGCCTAGAGACCCAATTGAGAAAAAAGAAAATTAACAGCATGAAATTTTTACTGTTATTTAGATCAGATAATTTGATGCTAGCATTCTGAACTGCAAACCATGTTTTGAAAGTGGAAAAACAAATAATTAAAATTTAAAATTAAAATAAAACAAAGCAAAATAAAACAAAAATAAAATAAAAACCACTCTTGCACACTATCCTGTAGCAAAGTACCTACCATGAGAAATACGTGCTATATTTTTTATGACAGCCAAACAAATAGTGTGTACAAGTAACGTTTCCTTTGCTTTCATATTTATTTAGCAAATCTAGAACATTTCAAAGTTATAAATATATATATATATAGATATCTATGTAGAACATAGCCAAATAAATATATATGAACTGGTCAATGTGCAACTGGGTATACACACCTTAGCTCTTTCGTTTGAGCTCTTTTGCATCCCTCAGCTGTGCACTAGCTGGGCAGAAGTGGCCTTGCACTCTGACCATGCTCTGGGGTCCCACCCTGTGCCCTCCCATGCCAGGGCTGGGCTCACAGGGCAGCAGCTTCTCCAAGGTGAGCAATGTCGATGGGTGCTGTTGGAAGCCAAGGTGCTGCTCCAAAGGGGAAGGCGGTTCAGGCAGAGGAGCTCCTGGTTTAGCCGAGCCAAAGGAGATGGGCAGATCCCCCACAGGGTATTTGCATGCTCGGGGGCATTTGCCACAGTGTGGCTGATCTGGCACGGTGACACCCAGCTCAGGCTGCCGCCATCAGCCCTAAGGGTTTTCCCGTCAAATGCTGACTGTTATTTAAACCTCTCCTTGATACAAAACATTACCAGGTCGAAAGCACCATGACTGCCAGAGGAATCGCTTCCAGGCAGAAACTGGGAATGGTGGAGTCGGACTCGTTGTGGATTTGTCTGGGCATTTGTCACCTGCCATTATTTGTCTAAGGAAACGTGTTTGACAATTTCCAGTTTTTCCTTAGATCTCGTGGTGGACTTTAGCCTTTTAATAAATGTTAGTATATCAGATCGTGTCCTTGACAGTATTTTACTTGTATGAACCATGATAAAACATTAAAATCTTCATACTCTTCTGGCAGAAGTGTCAATAAACGAGAACAAGAAGCATTGCATACAATATATGTCAAAGTAATGTTCCTTTTCAGCTTTCTCATCAACAGTAAAAAATGTTTACAATGTATGCCAAGATCTTCACTTTCTGTCTAACACCAGTTAGAGGTTCTGATCTTACAGAAATTGTGTTATAATGGCCTCAGCCTCGTTGCTAGGAAACAATAGATCCCAATTTTTTTATTCCTGCTCTAACTCCTGTGCTGAATAGTGACTGGATACTGTACAGGTTTATGTTATATGGCTGCAGTTAAATGGTCTGATGCATTTTGCTCTGGGTTTCAGACCAGAAGCATGCATTTTCTACAAGAACATCCCAGCAACACGCTGTAAATATTGAAAGTTAATATATTATGTGTCGATATTTGAAAAAGAAAGTACTTTGACTATTTCATTTTTAAAAAATAAAGGTGCAAACTGACAGGGTGTGATGTTGTCTTTGTTTACACCAGTATTTGGGATACTCTAGTCATATTAGGAAAAGGTGCTTCCCTAGAGCTAAATAAGGACTTCAGCCAATATAGGCTGATTCAAAGGTTGCAGGGTGGAGGGTTGCTTATCAAGGTTTTAATTTTACTTCTGATTCACCAAAGTTCATGCCTATAACTCTGCAGGTTTCACTGCAAATGAAATCCCAGCCAGTTTCTGTGCACAAGTTATTACATTAATCAAAGCAAATGTGAGGGAGGGGAAAAAATTTTGCTGAATGCCTTTGCACTCCCAACAACAGAGTGGGTGAAGTCGATGGTGGTGGTAGGATGAGGAGCAAAGTTTAAGTAGCTGCACGTTCTTTAGAGCTGCCTCAAATAGATGCTGATGAATGACTGTGTGTGTCAAAAGTGGGCGCCCAGGAAAATAAAAAAATAGAAAGCCCAACACATGCAGCAGAGAGGAAGAGAACATGAGTGGAAGGGCACAAGGAGTGTTTAAGGCTAAAGGAAAGATTATATGGTGAAAAACATTAGAACAGCTGGGCGGGGTAATAACCAAGCAGGAGGGCTGAGGCTGGAAGAGCTGTGTTGGATAGCTGAGAAGAAAGCAAGTCCAAAGGGGTGCTCTAGTAGAAAAGGGAAGAAAACCAGCCTGGAAGACAGTATTGATTTAGTCCTGCAGGAGGTCTGTCACAGCCATAGATGGGGAGTAGAAGAGGGCTTAGTGGAGGCAAAAATGGAGCTAAAAATGGAGCTGCAAAGGACCAGCATTGCCTTTGCTGGGGAGAGGGCAGAGCAGGGAGGGCTGGGGCAGGGTGTACAGGGTCAGGGCACACAATGTAACACAGTGAGCCTCAAAGCCAGCTGCAGGAACTGGGGCTGTAACAGCAAGGAGACAGGAGTAGGAGGGCTGGGGTGGGAGAAGCTGCAGCAGTGTGGGGCTGTGTCCCAGTGGGGCTGGAGTCCAGAAGAGACAGTGGGAAGAAAGAAGCAGGTGATACAGACATCAGCTGGGAGGTAATGCCCACAAAATGCACCTGCTGCTCTCTGAAAGGATCTGCAGCTCTTCATACCTAAGTCAATGTATGAAATCTATATGATTTCCATGTTACAGTTCCCATAATCAAGCATCAACTCCTTGTCTCATAGGCACCATCAGCTTCTCTCTGTTTCCACCTTGTTTAAGCCTACAGCAATTCCAGACCCTTGGGGTACCCAAAAGAAACAACAAAAGCCTCTGTCTTAATAATTTACACCAGAAACTGAAACGACATTCTCAGCTTTAAACAGAAATGGCATCTTCTGGCCTATTTTATGTATTTTTTAGAAGAACAATGCACTTCTGGAGTCTACCATAGTCAAACCAGTTATCCTCAGCTCACTGCACCACAGAGCGAGAGAGCAGCTGCTGCTTGTGTGCCGCAGGTTTTGCACATGCAGCCTCAGCCTTGAAGTCAATAGGATATTTCCATAGGAAACAGCCCTTGGGCAAAGTGCTTCCCACTACATTTATCCTTACCACTGTGCAATCATCTGCCAGGGATCATTTCCAAGCACACTTGTTCCTGTTCCCAGGAGAGGCCAGGTAAACCAGGGGTTTAGACCCAGCACTTGGAAAGCAAAAAGGCTCCCCGAGAAGCTGCCAGCACCCAGCAGCTGGGTCGGCTCTGAGGAAGGATGGTTTGCAGGCACACAAAGCTGGTAAGAGCAACCAGGGACCAGCTGCCCCAGGCTCACAGTGAGCTGGGAAACCTTTAAAGCCGAGAGGAGGAGGGAAAGGTTCAATGGGCACAAGTGACAACAAAGCAGCCAGTGCGTTTGCTCAGTTATGTAATGATTAAAAAAGCATTAAATATTTTATAAAAGAAGTCATGCTGGATTTACCACTGCATAGCACTGTATTAAAGTAAGGCACTTGTTTAACCAATAAGCATGTGCACCAAGGAGGCACAGAGCAACACGTACCTACAGTGTAAAATACGATGGGATATTTCACCACAAATTCAATTAGACAGAAACTGAGCAATGAACTGAAATTGTCATGACTTTGCAACAGTGTTGCCCACCTGTTATGATGGGCCAGTACATTTAGTGTATATATTCCCATTGCTGGTTTACAAGGAACTTTGTGCTTCACAGCAAATATTTTATTGCTTGCACTGTCTCACTCAGAGCCACTTATGGGGGGGGAGGGGCAGGTAAACCTTCCAGCTTTGTCAAATGCTTGGAGCATTCCCCTCACCTTGCTGAATCCTGGGCTTGCAGTCTGTTTACTTCTGTCACTGTTCACATCCAACTTACCTGTAGTGAAGAGCAAACACAGCAGCTGCAGAGCCTCTCACTGTGCCACCAGAGCCATGGGCTGCTGTGTCTGATGAAATGCAGTCAGTTTTGTTCTCCCTGAGCCTGTAGCCTGGTCGCTCTGGAAAAAAAGTCTCTTTCTTTCCTAGGAAATGATTTCTGCCTTCCAAGCTGTACACAAGTGAGAAGTATAGGCATGAAACATAACCAGAGTAATCCAAATGTAACTAGACAATGTTTAAGAGTTGGGTATTTTAAATACATTTATTTTTGTAGTCTGTTTGCAACCACTGTTAGTCCTGTGCTTTGAAAGGGAGTGCAGGAGACACACATTCTTTTGGTAGTTAGGACCATCTGTGTGGGTTGAAGGCCGATTATCAGTGGCACAAGCCAGACCAGATGTATCCTCCTTGCACACAAATAAGGCTGGGCCCCAGCCAGGGTCCCTCCTAAAGCCCACAAGCCTTCCTGGCAAAAAAACCCACATAGAGGGAGTCCAGACCATGTCTACCACCATTGAACTACAGTGCAACACAGCCCTATCTCCTGAAACAAGAGAGCTGTTCCAAACAGTTTCCTACTGTCTGCCAGTTCATCAGGACAGTGTCATCATGTTTATTAAACCCCAAGTGCAAAAGGCATGCACTCCAATAGCCTCGTGCCAACCCTGCACAGCTGATGAGTCCTGTAGATTCAAATCTCCCCTCAAGGAGCCCAGCAGCAGCATGGAAACACACAGATAGGAAAAGACAAGTAGAGAAACTGTCATGCAAAAATAATTTATTTTTTTAACTGTATGCAAGGGTGGTTTGTTTCAAGTACAGAGAACACCTAAAAGCAAAGAATGAGGCTTTCCACTTCACTGGGTGTTCTGCACTCTGTGCAGTGCTTAAGCTTTTGATCATTTGTGCAAACTACAGGTTTCATTACAGGGCAGAGTGCCTGGTGTGATGGGAAATCAGTTAGTGGGGATCCTCATGGTGTCAATTCTGGAATAGCTTTAGAAACTGCATGACTGACTGACAGACAGCCCACCCAAGGCAAGGATACTTTAAACAATTCTCCTAAGGCTATGAAAGGGGACTTGCCCAGTTCTGCATAAATGCTGACTAGAATAAAGCAGAGTCCAAAGTTAAGTAATGCAAAATTAGTAACTAATTATTAATTAAGAACTCATATTGCAGGGAAAGATATTTTATATTTCACAGTAAAAAGAGGGGGGAAAAGACATTAAGTATTTAGTAGTTCATACTTTTTCATCTTTGCTTAGAAAAAAAAGTCCCACCCTAAGTTCAAAGTATTCCGAAACTTACATTTCTACATTTTGAGCTAGAAATTCTATGAAATACACATTTCTGAAAATGTTACAAGCAAACTCACAGAGTTGTATTAACTATCATATAAATCATTCTGTTTGAGAGCATGGACTAGATGAGACACTGGAAGATGTGGCTATGTCACACTTGGGGAAAAATCTTCATGATGGCTGCAGGTGGAAGTCCTGGCCTTCATTCCTCCCTAAGAAAAATAACCACAAAGATATGAAAGGATCACCACTCATAGATCAGAAGGTTTGTACGCTGGGTGAGAGAAGGTAGCCATTGGTGCTATAGCACTCAGGAGCACATATTCAAAATCCATTTTCTCATCACATTCACAGGCCCTGTCCCTAATGGGCACCTGAGTGACAGCATTTTGATCATACAGTAGCAAACTTAGGGCATGTTTTTGGCAATGTCACTCTGATGGCTACTTCAGGTCAAATATGCAAATAAGTCTAAGACCTCCATCCATGCAGCTGTGAAGGGCTCTGCTCAGCTGCAGCCAAGGCTCCCTCTACCCCACCAGTACCTGGGGGGTGTTTGGCTTTCCCCTGGTTGATGACTGGGTGCTGCAGGGGTGTTATGATGCCTTGGTTGGGTTTCTGGAAGGCCGAAATGAGGTTGTGCACTTTCCGAAAGAGCCTCCGGTGAACCCCAGGTGCTGTCTGCAAAACCAAAGGGTGAGAGGTGAGAAGGGCTGCTGGGTACTCTGCATCTGTGCTGGGCTCAGGGCACTGGCACTGAAGCTTTGACCTAAGAAATGCACACAGGCCCCAGAGAAGTGGCCAGACATGGATGTGGACCCCCTGATGTGCCAACTGAAAACGAGGCAATGAGCTGCACTGCTCTCCCCTTTCCCTGGGGCATCACAGCCTCCCTGCACGGAGCAGTTTCCAGCAGCATGATGGTATAAGGCTGGAAGGAGGACTACTTCTGAACCACTACAAGAGAAACCCAGAGTCTGCCACACAATTACACAAACTCACAAGTGATCTTCTGCCTTTTCTGACCCTGACTTATTGCAGCCAGTGATTTAACTGCTTTACCAACAACCTCCTGGCATGTATCAGTAAGATAGTTCCAATCTGGATACACCCGTAAGACAACCTAGAGAGCTCCTGGCATTTACGGAGGAGAGGGAGTCCTCCCACCACTACATTCCAGCAAGGATGCAGCCTCTTTCCAAGTCCTTCTCTGGGCATTCAACGCTGGCTTTGAGTGTTCATTGAGTATTCCTGTCTACCTGCTGTACAAAGACAGCAGCCAAATGTTACCTATTTATTAAAAAGTGGGAATTTTTCTTTCTTTCTACATTAGCAACTTTTCAAAGACTGTGAAATGAAACTGTGTGTGCTTTTAATCAAACACCCAATGTTTCTGTGAAATCCTTCAAGGCATTCTCATAGTAAGTCCTCCTCACCAAAGTCAAGGGAGGACAAGCATAGGTCCTGCCAGCATAGTCCCACTTGAGGGACACTGCTCTCACCCAGCAGCCATGAGCTAAATCCAGCCTCACTGGCACCAGCTGGAGTCTTCACACTGGCTGGGATTTCACCAGCACTGGTTTAATTTCCCTGCCACATCCTTGAAAGGTGGGTATGACCTGATCTTGCTCAAAGACTAACCGGCCACAGGGGAAGGAAACACAGATAGGAAAGGACCAGCTGCACCTGAAGCCTGTTTGAGTCTTCGAGGCACATTCCATGGGGCTAAGTTGGACCTAGGCTGCTGTTTCTGACAGCTGAGGTCAGCATGGTCTTAGCAACTTTTCCTTGAAGGTTTCTGTTTGCTTAAGGGAAGAGTTGGTATCATGGGTGTGTAGCTAGCACCTTTCCCTGCAGAGGATGTAGAGTGTCCTGGGCTTTCAGGACACCTATGCTGTGAAACAGTTATGGTTTGCCTAATATACAGCAAGGGAAAGCCCAAGACCCATACATACAAAGCCAGTGGCCATCACAGGCCAGGAGTTGTAGCAGGTCCATGTAACACCAGAAAAACCTTCCAGGAGACCCTGGGGCTAAAGAAGGCTGCAGCCTCACTCAGGGAATTATCCTCCACAGATAGGGGTCCCTGGGCTCCTGGCATCCTTGCTGAGATGACAGTGCTCACCCTGGCATGCCAAGTGCACTGTCACTCTCACCCTCTCCTGAAAACCCTTCTGCTTGGGCACTGCAAATCCTAACCCTTACAGGGTGTTCCTCATGACTTACAGGAACAAATTCCTGGGTGCTGTTCCCAAGGGTGACACAGATAATTATTTACTCCACAGTATTGTCAGTCACTTCCACTCCCCGATCTGCTTCTGAGTAACCCCAGGAATTAGTTTTGTCTTCCAGAACACTGTTACCATTTCTGTTATAATAATGGCTGAGGAATTATGCCCATCTATAAATTATATAAGATTTGTAATCAGTGTTCATTAACGTACGAACAGAAAGCTAATTATGAATTAATACACAAGAGTATATCCAAAGAATAAAACCTTCATAAGAGAAACACAGATTAACATCCCAATTTCATCAATCAAAATAGTTGTCTGTATTGCAAGTACTGTTTTTCTGTGCCCACATTAACAGTTTCTTGTCAGATGGGTGAAAATACATTTTGTGTCAAGTTTTGGCTATCCTATATATGTTTTGCATCAATGATGAATTAAAGAGGAGTAAAATTAACTTTTAAACACTGTAGACTGAAAATAAGTTCTTTAAATATTCTGACATTAATGGCACAAGGGACAGAACAGATTGTGCTTGTCAAATAATAAAAACACAGTATTTTGCCATTTAAAATGATGCAAAATAATGCACTATTGAATTATGCAACAGCTGAAATGAAACGGGGCATTAATTTATGAGTCTGAGACTGTCAGAAGTGGCACCAAGACATCTTACTGATGGGCACACTCAAGATCGATTACCATCAATGAAAATCACTATGCAGAAACATGAATAATTTGAATATATTTCATTAAATCTATACTAATATCAAACAGGATGTAGAAATTTTCAGAAGACAAATGAGAAGTACACACCTCAGCACTCCAGGATCCAGTTTCTGTCTTGGACACCCTGTAGGTATAAACATAACCCTGATGCCTGTGGAAAAAAAAATCAACAGTCTTCACAAGAGCTACACTGTTATGTGAAAGTCAGGTAATCTGCTAACCTTTCCTTAAAAATAAATTAACCTATAAAGGCTCTAGGTAGATAAAAAACCCACTGGCCAGATAAAATGTTTAGCCTACTGGGTTCTTTTGAGATGAGAGGGATTGGTCTGATTCCAGTGTAGTTTAGCAATATTCAGTTATTTTACATTAGGTGATGTTGGTTTCATTCCTGCCTCAGCATTTTTATTAATTTTTTTCTAGTGACCTCCTTTTACTGACATATACCAGACATACTTTGCCTGCAAAAAGAGAAGGTGCATTATTGGCAGATAGCATTACTGTTCTGTGACTCATTTAAATGCAGATGTTCCCAGAAGCAATATCATGACTGTAATTTATTTGGAAAGCCAGACCCACAAAAAGAAGGTAAATTAATTACTTTTTCCTTGCCCATATATTCCTAACACTCCAATACTGATAAAGGAGACTTATAAGAGTGTGGAATTCTCCTTCTTTTAAAATCTGAGTCTGTCGAGTGTGAGGAGTCACACACTAATAACACAAGCCACACTCTCATGTCCTAAGTCAGTCTTGCTTCTCTTAGGAACCCAACACAGTTAATTATCTACATGGTAGATTATTATGCCAATATCCAAAAATTTAACTCAGGAGCAGAGACAATAGATAGTAGCTCCATGGGTGTAACATTAGTTTGGACAGTATCAGATAAGTGAGATTATATTTTATACTACATAGATTTACATGAATACACAGCAGGATTTTAGGGACCATTCCTTATTTCAGTGTCAATTCTTATTCTTAAGAAAGCATAAAAATACTGTATTTCTTTCCAATTATGCACGGTATTATAGCAGTTACTACAAGATAGCAGAAACCATCAATGACACAGAAACCGTATGATTGCAATTACTTACACTCTGTGTCATGGCTCCTGGATAAATTCCTGTTTAAAAGTCATTACAGCAACCTTTGCAAAGCAGTGTCTGGTATAATTTACCCAAGCAGGAAGCTGTTAATAGTTGGCACTCTGCTACAACACCACGAAGTGGAAACAAAATGCCTGCCATGATTTATGAGCTCTGTCCCCGCCACTCGATTCCCACTGTGATTAAACATGGAGATGAAGGACACAAAGCTATTCCTTCCCATTAGGGCTGCTGCAGGGACAAGCTCCATGTGCAGCACTTGAGACACTGCCCTCCCTCCTCCTCATGTATGGGAATGTGCCTGATGCTGCCCCACAATCTCACCACAACTTCATCCACCTCTTCACGTTAACCAAGAGAGCATTTTCCTCAGAAACAAGACTTTCTACATGCCACCAGCTGAATGTGAAAAGTGGCTGGCTGTGCCCACTTCATGGAAACCTAAGATGGAAAACAGCTGTCACTGCTTCCCCCTCCACTACTTCCAGCAAGCTGCAGTCTATCAGGGATTTGGACCTTGGGAAGTGGTGTGAGCAACCTGGTGTGGCTGCAGGAGGAGGGAAGGATGTGGAAGGATCGATCTCCTGTTCATGCCATGGCACCATGGTCACTGGTTTTTAGGCCACAGCTCAAGCCCAGTTGCTTAAAAGCACATCCCCCTAAGCCACTAGACTATATATATTTATGGTCAGGGTACCCAGTGTCTCCCTTTAGGACCCTCAGACCATGTCATACCATGATGTCCTATCTTAAAGCCCCTAAGAGATGTGCCTGTGTTCTCATAGCTTTTCATTTGTACCTGTTCTTCACATTAATCTCTTTTTAAAAATCACTGGGAGCTTTCCTGCACCCAGGTGTGTAGCACACCAGCCAATATATGGTTACTGAGAGGAGGATTTTACAAGCCTTAGTGTACTGGGAAACACCAGACAGGTCCTAGCATTTTGTCTGATCAGTCTGAAGTGGGTATTTAACCATCTCCACAGTGAATTTTTTCAAGCCTCACACAACAGGAACAGTATCTACAAATCTAAAACCCATTCCCTTACATTCTGTTTTTAGCGCTACACTATGCGTATGTGTATGAGCAACCTACACTAGTGGGTGGCATCCCTGCCCACAGCAGGGGAGTTGAAACTAGGTGATCTTTAAAGTCTCTTCCAGCTCAAGCCGTGCTATGATTCGATTGCCCATTCTTTTCTCAGTTGTCCCAAAGCATTCCAATTGCTTCAGTCTCTTGAAAATCTGATTTTTCCACAAATGGCTCAGTTGTCTGGAAAGCCACCATCTGTTGTTTCTTTCATCATTTTCTCTACTTAAGAGATTGAAGAGTTGAAGTGGTTGAGTGACTGGGGTGCTGCTCTGAACTGTCTGATGGCTCTTAGTATTTTGCCAGAAGGATTTGCTAAGCTAGACAAACTGAAAAATAGTGGTCATACAAAGTAGCATTCAGGGCTGAAGTATGGTGAGATATAAGATAGACACCTATCCTGCATTTTTTCAAAAAATTACACTGTGAAATACTTCAACTGAGCACAGAGAAAGCACAGGGAATAATTCAGGTTAAAAGCCCGGGAGATACAAAAAAAGGGACGAGAATTTGGGAACATGGATGCTTTAAGCACAGTGTGAACAGGGGCAATATGACATTGCCATCACAGCCTCATGAGGGAGAACTGAGAGCTCTCCACTCACCTGGCAAATGTTTGTATTTTTCCCAGGGAAGGAAACACTGAAAGGCCTGAAGGGATTTACTGAGCTTAAGCTGAAAAACACATCGTTATCATCTGTTGTTGGCTCTGAAACGACCAGGAAACAGAGCCACTGTGTAGATGGGAGATGGCCTAGACCTCCACATCTGCTTCTTCAAAGGAAATGCACAAAGGAAGAAGGATTCATTTTGTTATGAGGGTGAACAGATAGGTCTTCCCATCTAACTACTTTCCATTGGGACTCTGGTTTCCACAAAATGAATTACAGCTCTTCTGATAAGCACTCTCCCAACGAACATGATCTTATCAAAACCTTCTGTCATACAGCAGGAACTTACTTCATTACCACTTCAAAGAATTTTTTTACTTTCCATGTGCAAGTGACATGATTTTGATGAGCCAAGTTTACTGCTATATGGGCACAGCCTCCCGTGAGAAAGGTTTTTATTATGATTTAAACTACCCAACTTTAAGTAAGATCAGTGTGGGCTGAAAGAAGATCAAGATGTTTTTCTTAAAAGAAAAATTAAATCTACAGATTAAAATTGGGATTGTAGAAAACATTACCTTCCAAAGAGAAAATGCAACACCAGGCAAAAGCAGGTAGAAAGGTGCATTTACTGGAGCTTAGGTCTCGAGAGATGAGAAATTCCCCAGCCACTGTGAGACAACAGTTCAGTTTTCTACATTTTACTCTATCCAGGGCACAAAAAATAGCTTCTAGAGTGACAGTGTTCCTATATGTGGTATGATGTCAGAGAGCACTCTTACAGTGACACTGGTGTACCAACACACCTTGGAGAAGGACCAGCTTTTGACAGCCAGGCGAAGATTCAGTGAAGGGCTCCCCCATCCCTTCACCTGTCCTGAGAATGGACAGAAGCCACACTCAATATAGCAAAGCTTCTCTCTCATGTCAGTGAAGCTTGGTGCAATCATGAATTATCATCGTGATGAGTGAGGACCTATAAATTTTTGATCAAAGGCAAAAATATGCCAAAATGCTGATGAGAGCAAGAAGAAAACAGCCATTGTTGTAAGGATAATATCAGATAGCGCTTGTGAAAGA